CCAGCACCCCCACCCCCATGGCTGCCCCACCCGCTCCAGCTCCTGGTTTGTTTTTTAAAAAAAGCCCTACTGGCTGCTCCAGTGGCCATTGGGGCTTCTGGGGGCTCATAGCAGAGGCCCCCCATTCAGCACGGGGCAGGAGCCAATGAGTATGGGGCTTTTTTTCTTAGAGAGCTGATGCTGGGGCTGGGAGAGCGGGCGGAGGATGGGGACTCGTGGCAGAGCCCCCCCACACAATGCGAGACAGTGGGGGGGGTAGTGGGGAATCGCCCCCCACCTGGTAGCAGACAGTGAGCATGGGACTTTTTTTTTTTTTTATTTTAAAGAGCCAGGAGGCTGGAGCCAGGTGGGGCAACCATCGACAGGGCTGGGAGAGCGGGCAGGGGATGGGACTTGTTTGATTTGGAGATTTGGCTGATTCGGTGGCAGCCACATCTCCGAGTCAGATTCGGCCAAATTGATTAGGGACAGTGATTTGAATCACCTAATTGAATCACTGTTCCCCAAATAGGCCAAATCCAAACCAAATACTAGCCCCTTTGCACAGGCATATTATGTAGCAGATTCAGGTTGCGGCCCCTTGTTAGCACCTATGAAAAAAAGCTGCCTATTTTGTAGCTTTGGTGGAATTAAAGACCTTCATCCACTCTTTATGAGGAAATGTACATCCCTTAAGTATTGTCAGTTTCTAATAGGAGTACATTTATTTTCATTAACAATACTTTAGTTTTCCTTATCAAGTTTTACATGGAATACTCTATTTAGAATGCTATTTTTGTTAGTGGCAGATGGACGCCCAATATTTGCCAGCTGCACTAGAAAAAGTTTTTCTCCACCCAAACTACCATGCATTGAGGAAGTGGAAAGTGAGAATGTCCTGATGTAGTTGGAAGTATATACCAGCCTAAGGCTTTGTTATAATGGGTAGCCCACCCTCCATTATTAACAAGGTTGGCAGGAAAGAGAAAGGAAAATAGGCAGACTACCAGTGCTAAAGGACAGCGTTTCCTAGTTCAATGGCCCACACCTCCTGCACCTAGACCAACCCCTCATTTAAACAGTAACTTGAAGCACCCCCAAAGATGAAGCACCCTTTCCTCTTCAAATGCTCTTCAGATGCTGCTTGGTTAAGATAAGAAGGTACAAAAATAGCAAAGGTTTTATTAATTTATTTTTTTAAATTAACTATTTTTGTTGAATAGGTAAAGCACCACTAAGACAGCAGTGTCCATCATGAACATAGATTCAAGAGTACAAGTACTTGGCATCCAGCACACATTGTATCCAACAGTGTAGAGCTAGCAAATCAAATGAGGCAAGATTGTTTAAATCTCACCTGCTTACTGTTTTTATTATAAATAGACTGTTAAAGCTTTAAGCAAAACAGTTTAAACCCCAGTAGTACCAATAAACACTGCTATTTATCAATGTATACAAAAATATTATAGTATGCATGTCAGGTCTAATATATGAACAAATATGATCAACATGATCTATTTTCATGACTGTATGTGGGATCAAGGCAAGTGACAACGCTAATATAATTTAACAAACATTTTGTGTGCAACCAATCTTTACAAGATCAAGTTTAAATATAACTAATCAGCAACTCTCAATATTATTCAATTTCCAGATATTATTTTAAAATTTTCATCATGGCACTCAGTGACTAGTGGTGTCCCCCAAGGCTCTGTTCTTGGACCTGTTCTCTTTAATGTCTTCATAAATGATCTGGACACTGGTGTCAAAAGTGGATTGGTTAAGTACACTGAGGACACCAAACTTTGGGGAAGTGTCCACACCTGAGGATAGGCTGGTGATCCAGGCTGAGCTCGATAGGCTTGCAAGGTGGGTGGATGAAAACCTGATGGCATTCAATACGGAGAAATGCAAGGTGCTCCACCGCCGAGGGAAAAAACACCGCATCACACTTACAGGCTTGGCAGTGCTACACTCACTAGCACCATGACTGAAAGAGACTTGGGGGTCATGATCAACCACAAGATGAACATGAGCCACCAATGCGATATCACAGCTGGCAAAGCAAACAAAGCTCTGGCTTGCAGCTACAGATGCATCTCGAGCAAGACCCAAGATGTCATCCTCCCACTGTACTTGGACTTGGTGAGGCCACAGCTGGAATACTGCATCCAGTTCGGGGCTCCACAATTTAGGAAGGATGTGAAGAAGCTTGAAAGAGTCCAGAGGAGAGGCACGCACATGATCAGAAGGAAAGAGAACAGGCCTTACAAAGACAGGCTCTGAGCTATGGGACTCTTCAGCCTGGAAAAGTGTGGGCTCCGGGGTGACTTGGTGGCAGCCTGTAAGTATATAAGGGGTGTGCATCAGGAACTGGGGGAACACCTGTTCACCAGGGCACCCCAAGGGATGACAATGTCCAATGGTCACAAACTCCTACAAGACCATTTTAGGCTAAATGTAGGGAAAAAATTCTTTACTGTCGAGCCGCCAAGGCCTGGAAGATTCTCCCCAGAGGTAGTGCAAGCACATACTCTGGACACCTTTAAGAAACATTTGGATGCTTATCTTGCTGGGATCCTTTGACCCTAACTGACTTCCTGCCCCTTGGGCAGGGGGCTGGACCTGATAATCTTACCAGGTTCCTTCCAGTCCTAATGAAATCTATGAAATCATGAGATGCAAAAGACAGTCAATAAGGTACACTGCTCACTGCTACCAAGAGCTAATCCAAAACCTGCTGAAGTCAAGGACAAGACTTATTAATTTCTATGGGATTTGTGCCAGATACATGTATATCTTAAGGGAAGGCATGTGCACAGATATTTAGATTAAAAAGAAGAACATTAAAAAGTATAGGCCTCTTTATTTTAATAACTTTGAAATCAATATTTAGCACAGCTTACAGTTGCTCATCCATAATAGTATATTATTGTTTACAAGTGCTTATTTGGAGGTCCTTCTCAAACCACTGCCTAGTAGAACTGCAGTAATGCATTCAGCTGTATGGCTACATACATTTCAAATTTCCTTGATATGTTAAATTTTTAGCATTGTGGCTTTATATACACAGAATGTCAGTTTTTTTTAAAAAAGTGGCATAAAATTAGATTTCAAGTTTTATGTTTTCTTCCTCTTAGAATTTATAACTGAAGGCATTTCCTAGAAATACACAACTTTGTACTATACAAGAGACAATACAGAAGAATCAGACTTCATACTTTAGTGAGGTATTTCCCAAAAGAGCCCCTAAATTCTATTCTCTTTTGTACTTGTGCAAGTTTACTGAAGTCAGTGGAATACATGGACAGAGCAGAAGATAGATTTTTGTCAGTGTGTGCAGGTGTTTAAAAGACACTATCAAGGTTTCCATCCTTCAGCTAATCTTAACATTCAGATATTTCATTATTATCTTATCAATTCCTCCTTTAACTAAAGGTTTTCCTTAACAGGACTAACACACTGGTTGCCAGAGAGATGATCTTGAGCGTCGTACTGATTTTCCTCAAAGGACAAAATTCAAACATTTTAATAAACCAGAGTAGGTACTGTTCAGATGTATTGTGGTTCAGGAAGAGGAAAAAATGGCAAGTCAGATTTTGGGTATATAAACCTTGACAGTGTATCTTTAAACCATGACATTGAAATAAAGAATGATCTATGCTTCCATGATAAAAATGTATCACTTTTATGCAACATAAAGATACTTCATTTTTAAAGAACAATATGCAAAAGCATAGACTTTTAACAAATCCTTTAAATACAAAATGAACAGGACTGTAAGAAATCTTTAATTTTCAAAGTATAGCAACCGAATTATAGTGGATAAGTTCTAAGGCATTGCTGTGTAATATTGTCTTTACTTAGCTAAACAACTGCTTGCTTTTTTAAAAAAACAAAAATGAAAAAATAGAGGATTACTTGTTAGACTGGACAGTTTTTAAAGGTTACTTATCAGTACTTATGAAAATCCAGTAACATTATGTGTACATTTGTAAGAACTGCTAACACCTCCTAGCAGTTTTTACCTCCTAGGATTAAATATGATACAACTTTCCATCTAAGCTCTGACAAATCCAACTAATTCTACATATTTTCCTTATTACTAATGGGATTTTACTACCTTTAAACCAACCCAAAATCCAAGTTGATGCACTGTTAATAGGAATTGTACAGTAAGTCTTTGTAAAAATAAAATAGATCTGAACTCATAGGATACATTTTTTGGGAGGAAAAAGCCCAATATTTGTATGTTATCTTACAGATGAAACAAAATATATAATACTTTTTGGATAGTATTTCCTTCTACTTATTTGTTTACTCACTTTTAAAAACACTACGCATTTTCCTAAACAAAAGAGAGCATTTTGTGTGTAACAAATATTTGGCTGAGATTTAGAGAAGAAACTATTTAGCATTTGCTAATGACCACTATATTGCATACACTGTTTTATGAATTCCTAACACATCTGAAATTTAACTTTATATTAGTATTCATTAAACAGTACTGCAACTGTTGCATAATTATTCCCTGCAATGTAAAATCCTTGTATTTGAAAGGGAAGCTTAACAGATTTGCACCTAACTTACTGCTCCCATCTTGCTAAAGGAAGATGTTTTCACACCACATGGAGTTCAAATGCAGGTGACTGGAAACCAGTTTGCTTCTAATACTGATTTAATATCAAAAGAATGTCATCATTTTTTACATATTTAATATAAATATCAGAACATTTTTAATCCAAAAAGTGCCCAAAATAGTCATGCTTAAATGTGACTGACCATTTTATGTTTTTCCCCCTTGCCTGGGAGAACGGTAAAAAATTAGAATCAGGTTATGTCTTATGTCTTAAATTGTGTTTTAATTCAGTTAGGCACCAAACATGGTTCTACCCAACTCGTGGACAAAACCCCATCTGTACTATGACCTGGACATAATCATGATTAGACAGAGTAATTTTTGTAAGACAGGCAGCGTCTGATGCTCTTTCAGATGTCGAATTGGAACAAAAGTCAAAGTATGCACCTGCATACTAAACTAGGTATACTACTAAGGTTACAATGTGAAGAGAAAATTTCAGCTTCAGAAGATGACTACTGCTCTAGAATAGTTTGCACTTTATTTACAAATGCATTTCACAATTGAGCCACGTTGGTAAGTGCTTATCACTACATGAGTGCACACTGAGATGAAGTCAGCTTTCTATTGATGGGTTCTTGGTAGTTCCACACTTTCTGAACTTTAGATCTAGATTATAAAATGTGTATCGTCATTAAATTGTATTAACCTTTTCCTTTGTTGCAATTAACATACGTAGCTTGAATAGCTACTTCCTAATTGATTCACTAACAGTTCATACAGGCTAAATAACCTTGTTATTCTTCAAAGTACATTTAGCCCAATTTTTAGATCGTTTAAAAAGGAATATGATTAACTGTAATATCTACTTCATACAGCTGGGTTTTCTCAAGCAGTCTGTGGCCTTACAGTTCCTGATATGTTGTATTACTTACATGACAGAAGGTTAAGAATGGATTTGGAGGTTTAATTGTGAACTTCAAACATTTAGTGATATTAACTATTTTGTGTAAAGAGGCACTGCTCAGTATCGTTAGCAAGGATCTGAAGGAAACAGAAAGCAACTGCTCACATCATCTGCCCCAGCCCAGACAGCAACCAACAATCAGGACAGGCCCTTTGCACGGACATAGTATATGTGGTTTTCAGGGTTTAAAATGTATACAGGAATGCTACAGCATATAGCCATGGAAATATTTTTTCAAAACAGAAGACAAAGTTAGCAATTTCCATGAACTAAAACAAAAAAAAACTTTGCAATCCTGCATCCATTTATAAAGGAAGAACCTTCCCTTTATGGCACAATCTAGACTGGAAAAGGTCATGATTAATTTCCAGACCAACACAAAACTACTTTATGCTCGAGTCATTTTCTATTTACAAATGATATTCAATTTTGAAGGAAACATCTATAACTGACAGGTTTGTGCAGCCATTAAGGCTGCGTCCAGACATGCAGGGGTGCGTGCTTGCAGCAGCACAAATTGCTGCAGTGCACGCCCCTGCATGTGTGTTTTGTTGTGGGACAAATGGGCAAACTGTCCTTGCCCAGCTCCTCCTGGCAGTTCAGCCAGGGAGAGCTCATGGCTGAGGCCAACATTGATGCTGGCCCTAGCAGTCTTATCTGGTGGCTTGGAGCAGCAGGGGCCACAGGTCAGGCAGCAAGGACGCCTGGCCAGCAGCCAGAGCATTGCTTGTTGTAGTACAGGACATGTTTTAACGTTCACTGCACAAAAAGGTTTGCGGTGCCACAAACCTCACACCCCTGCATGTCTGGATGCAGCCTAAGTGTTGCAAAGTTTTTGCTTTTTTTTAATGAAGTTACTTTGTTTCAATAGCTTTGTGCAGCAGGGGTAGCAAAGTAGTCCAAGGATTTTGCTGATTTAGTTGGACTGTTAACCACACAGCAGTGTTCCCTAAAAAGGATGAGAATGGTAGAATGTAAAGCAATTTTTAAAATCACCACTCTTCTACAGCTAAATCCAGATTCCCTTACTCACACATATGGTCCCACTGACATCAGTGGAAATTAAGCAAGCAAGAAATGGAATCAAGACTTGGCCTACAGTATAGCAATATTCTAAGCCATCAAAAAGCCATCAACAAACATTTACAAGAAATTCAAGGCCCGTTTGTATACAGTACTTCTTGGTGCTGAATGTTTGCTTCCACTGAATAACTACTAATAATGCATTTTAATTAAATACATGACTACGGTAAAATGATATAATTTTAAATATTCTGGTAAATAATTAAGATTTTTTTCAAAAAATGACTCTTAGAATGTTAGTGGCAACTTCTTATATAGTAAGTGGTATACAGCTTAAAAACTGTACAACATATTTCCAAATAATGCATATGTAAACAGAATTTATATTTAAAAGCACCATCAATTAAAGAGGAGCATGTTTGAACTGTTGCAGTAAAGCTGCAGGCAAAATTTGGTCACTCTATTACACATTCATCTTGGAAATCCAAATGTAAGTCATAAAAAACCAACAGTACTTGCTTGCATACTTTGCTTTCCAAGTATCAGAAACAGCATGACAAAAAAAATATGTAAGGTGCGTGAATAAAGGCCATTCCTGAAAAAAGCTGCAAACGATAGAAAACGCTCATAAAAAGCATTTAAGGAAAAAAAAAACAGGCACACACAAACAGACATAAATATTCAATCCTAATACAGCTACTTGCACAGGGATCATTTCAGATTGCTGGGATGCACTTTAGGTATGTGGCACTGAAGTTATGGCATTTAAATCCTTCCTTTTTCTTTTTCTCTATATTCAGTTTGGTGAACTCTCTGATTCAGAGATTACAATTAAAACCAGTAATGCAAAGGAAGGAATGGAGAGAAGCCAGAGCAGAGGAAGAGACCTCAAAATGATTAAAAAACAAAACAAACAAATAAAAAACCCTAAAAAGTCAAAACCAAAGAAAAACCCATAGTAGACAGGAGACGTAGAAAAAAAAAGAATTTCTTTAGCACACCACTGAACACCATTTTCCCATCACACATAAGAAACTCATTCTCCAGTCAAGCCAGTAGTATTAACTAGAAACCCAAGTCATCTAAAGTAAGAAAACTGGAAACAGGATGGCATGAACCTTACTTGCAAGATATTTTTTTCAAATTACTTTAAAACCAAAACTTAAAATAAATAATAACAATAATAAAAAAGGCCTAAGATCTTAAGACATTAAAGGATTCTAATGCAGCAGTAAAATTGGAAATACACTGAAGATTTTCTTTGGCCTGTCAGGACCTAAACTCATGCTTTTGTGTTTCTTCTGAAGAACTGATCAGATAATTCACACACAAAACTGTATAGCAGGTAGCTGGATTCCAGCTTGAAAGAATCCCTGCAGGAGACATAGAACCGTGAACTCAGGTTCTAGACTATAAAGAACACAAAGAATGTAAATGTTTCAAATGTCAAACATTACTCATCTCTAAATTTAGCAGTACATTCCATAAGTGATTTAAAATGCAATATTTAAATGTATTTATTAAATTATTACTGAAGGGTATCTGAGTTCACTTTAAAAAGTTACTAATATTGAATTTTGTGCTAAATTCTCTAAGCAGCTTAAATTTAGAAAAATAGTTTAAATTAGGTAAATAATCCCAACAAAGCTCTAGAGCACATGCATAACTTCATTCATGTGAATAGTTTAACTGATTTTTAAAGATTACTCAGGTGAAAAAACATACATACATTTCTAAGTATTCTGCAGTATCAGGGCCATAGTTTGCTAAATTCTACGAAGTTTTTGTTATTTGTGATTTCCTCTTTTCCATCTGGAGCAGGACAACAGACAGATTCCAGCATCTCTAAAATGAACCCTGCCTGTAGAACATCCACACAGGAATATTATAATGGAGATTACGAGTGTTCTGACATCAGAAAAAAACATTTTGTCATTTCTTTTCTTCTGTATTCAAGTGGTTCCTAACACTTTCCAAAGACATATTCATGGCTGCTTGAAGCATGTCTTCTTCACTCATATCACCCCCTGTCAAGAGATAAAAGCAAAAATATGTGTCTAATTAATTTATAGAATGCAACTATTGAAAATTGAACATTTTCTAGATATCAGATTGACATTGATATAAAGAAAATTGACTATATCGGAAATTGGCCTGATGTGGTCAATCATTTGGCTGATAACATGTGCGCAGCTGCAGCACAGCAAGCAGGCAGCAAGGAGCACAGCCCAGCAACTTGGAGAGCTGTGTGCAGCTGGTAAGTCTGTTGTGGTGGAAGGGGACGGGAGAGGGAAGGGGTATGGGGGGAAAGATCAACACCCCCACAGTGAGGGAGGGAGTGGTGCTGGGGTAGGTGCTGCCCAACTGGAGTGGGGCGGCCACAGGACAGAGCTGCGGCTCGTCTGGAGGGCATGGGAGGGGAGGATGAGTGGTTCCCACTGCCAGGAGGGCACGGGGGGGGTGAGGGGTGTGTACCCCCAGATCTTCATGGGGCAGGCAGGGCAGACTGCAGCTGGAAGCTGGGGCTGTGCTGCACTTGGAACAGGTGGTGGCGGCAGCAGGGGGCTATGGTGAAATTTGGGGAGGTTGCAGCCTCCCCCATAGCCCACCTCCCAGCACCGCTGCCATCCACCCCAAGCACAGCACTGCAGCCAGCCCAGCCTGCCCCACGCAGATCTGGGGGCACAGCCCACCCCCTACCCCACAGATGAGCCACAGTTCTGTCCTGCAGATGCCCTGCCCCAGCTCAGCAGCGCCTACCCCAGCCCCTGCCCCACTCCCTCCCTCACCACGGGGGACATTGTTCTACCCCCCACCACATCCCTTCCCTCCCCTCTCCCCACAACAGACTTACATGCTGCATGCAGCTGTATCAGAAATCGAATCGGTATCGGCTGATATCCCTCCTTAAAAACAGGCTATCAGTATTGGCCCCCAAAATCTCTATTGGTACACCCCTAACATTTTCTTGTCCTTTTTTTTCCTTTTACTTGGTTTCCTTTCTAGATTTTTTTCCAGATGTCTTTGTCTATCTTCCATTACTATAATTTGAACAATTCTGAGTGACTTTTCAAAACCCTGTAAGTCCATAAAAACATATCCAAAATATTATCTTTGAATCTTTGTTTTTAATGTCAGTAAGGCTTACATACAGTCTAGATGAATCAATATTGTCATGTGCAATTAATTCAAAGCAATAAACTCCGGCATTTGTTGCACTGGACTTATTGCTCCTGGGCACCATTTACACGTGCCCCGGATAGCAGCACATTGAGCTGGTTTGGAGCAGCCCCAGCTGGCAGGGGGATATCCTACCAGCCCAGGGCTACTTCGACCCAGCTCAACATACTGCAGAAGGGCTGCCTAGGGCACAACAGTGCTCTAGTGCAGGTAGCCTCCACACTGAAGCACCCCTGTGTCCAAGCCAGCCCCGTCAGTGTCTACATATGAGTTGCTGTGTACTAAAATAACTCTTTGGCAGGATAGTACAAGTTCTAACCTGCAGCAGAGTGTAGTAGCTTATTGCGGCCTAATAGGGCCACACATGTAGATGCAGAAACATTTACTGCAAACCTAATTAAGAAGTTCCACAGTAAATGTCTTGTGTAGATGCATCCATTTAGAGACAGATTTATTTCCAGAATCCCATTATGGTAAAAAGCAATGCTGCACGGACTTCCAAAGTGCAGTCAGACTTTACTCAACCTGAAAAAACAGGGAAGTCAGACCAGAATTTGTCTAGTTTGATAAAAGTGCTGTTCTGTTTCAAAAAGATCTCTATCCAAGCACTTCCTCTGGTTTCAAGAATCCTACATAAGAAGATCTGGCTATGGTGTGCAGGTATTGTATATCACTGTTGTGAGACACAAAGATTTTTATTACTTATGCCTGAATCTATCAGCAGCATACTAGTGAAGGTTTCTAAAGTTCTGTCTGCACTACAGACACTGTGTTGCTGCAGCTATACCTTCCTTCCAAGTAATATAAGCTAAGTTGAAAGACATCCTTTCCTTAGTGTAGGTATGTCCACGCCAGGGGCTTTTATTGTCTGCCCATTTTTTATATTCCTGGCCTACGAATTGTATGGTCCCTCTCAACTAGGAAAAAAACCACATTTGCTGTGATATACATAGTGAAATCTCTGCTATCTGATACTTAACCAACTGGAATACTCCATTAACTGGATGTGGGAGAGCCGGCTGGATGTGGGAGAGGAGCGAGGGAAAGCTTGCACATGGCCGCCACTGCCACCCACTGCCCTGTGCTGCTGCCACTCCGCCCCACCCCCGGCTCTGCATTATCTGAAAACCCTGCCGAATTATTTTAGATAAGCACAGTTTTTATGTAACCAGCAATCCCCTTACCCCAGGATGCCAGATTTTACTGTAGTGTCAAGGACTCCTGTAGGGAGAGTAAAGGCAAAAAAAAAAAAAAAAAAATGCTAGGGGACTTCAAAGATTGAAAATCTGCCCTGGACAAAAAAATCTTTCACTGACAACCCATGCTGAAAATAGTAGCTTTCATAAAGTAAACACCTGGGTCCATTCCTAGTGCATCTGAACTTGTAGTTGGTTTATCGTATAGGTTTGAGGCATGTTCTTGTTGCTGTAGCTGTTGTTGCTGCCTGAAATTATCAAATCAGTAGAAGTTATTAGAAAAACAAAGGTAGCATCACAAAGATATAACCAAAAAACAAACCAACTTCAATGCTTCTAACATCATTTAATGTTAGAGCTATGAATCTTCATTTTAGTTAAGAAAATATTCAGATACAAAGCTCAGGTACCAAGATCTACTGGTATGATGTGAAGAACTGACTTCAGTGTATCCTGACCAACTACTATATATCTGACCACAAAGACAAACAAATGATAGGAAATCACTTCCCACCACCCGTAGGAAACTAATTCTGGAAAGTACTTAGAATGATGAAAAAGGGATCCCTTTAATAAAAAAAAAAAAGCTAAAATATAATCAATTAAAAAACAAATCACAGAACAAGATCCTTTACCTATGTTTTAACTTTAAAAATACAAAGAACTGGTCATTATTTATTCCATTTGATTTTAGCATTTCTTGTTGACTTAGAAAAAATTGTTATGTCCAGTTATATTTTCAAGTCCTTAATTTATACAACTTTTTTCTATTTGTGGAAAATTTTCTCTTGGCCTTAATTTCTACCCCCAAACTGACTCAGACCCACTTTAAATTACAGTTTCTTTATACATTCTTTGAATGTATTTAAGTCAACAGGTCCTGATGATCTTCATCCTAGCGTACTTAGGAAATTAGCTGGAGTCACAGCAGAGCCACTGGCACAACTGTCTGAGCATTTGTGGTGCTCAGGACAGGTCCTGGAGGATTGGAAAAGGGCCAACGTGGTCTCTATTTTCAGGAATGGGAGGAAGGAGGAACTGGGTAACTATAGGCCAGTTAGTCTCACCTCTATCCTTGGCAAGACCTTTGAGAAAATTGTTAAGGATCACATTTGTGGGGGACCAGCAGGTAAAATGATGCTAAGGCACAATCAGCAGGGGTTCATAGCAGTCAGCTTCTGCCTGACTAACCTGGTTTCATTTTACAATCAGGTCACAAAATGCTTGGATGAAGGACTAGAGGTAGATGTTATTTACTTAGATTTTAAAAAGGCCTTGGACACAGTGTCACACCCAATTCTTATAAATAAACTGAACAGTTGCAACGTAGATTATTATACAGTGCAGTGCGTAGAAAATTGGTTTATGGGACGCACCCAGAGAGTGGTGGTGGATGGGTCGGTTTCTACCTGGAGAAATGTGGGCAGCGGAGTCCCCCAAGGCTCTGTCCTGGGACTGATACTATTCAGTATCTTCATTAGTGACTTGGACAAGGGAGTAGAAAGCACCCTGTCCAGGTTTGCTGACGACACCAAACTATGGGGGGAGGTACACAAACTAGATGGCAGGGAGTGAAGCCAGGCTGATTTGGACAGGCTGGGGAAATGGGCTAGAATAGGATGCAGTTTAACAAGGATAAGTGCCATGTGTTGCACCTGGGTAGGAATCGTCAACACTCCTACAGCCTGGGAGGTATCACTCTAAGCAGCACAACTGCAGAAAGGGATCTCGGAGTTGTTGACTCCAAAATGAACATGAGCCACCAGTGTGATGAGGTAATAAGTAAAGCTAACAACACCCTTTCTTGCATAAGTAGGTGCATCACAAACAGGTCTAGGGAGGTGATACTTTTCCTCTATGTGGCACTGGTTAGGCCACAGCTGAAACACTGCATCCAGATTTGAGCACCGTACTCCAGGAGGGATGTGGATGGCCTGGAGAGGGTTCAAAGGAGGGCCACTCGTCTTGTTAAAGACCTACAGAAAAAAACCCTATGTGGACCGATTGGGAGACCTGAACCTTTTCAGCCCCTGCAAGAAGAGGCTGAGAGGTGATCTCATGGCCTCCCACAAATTCTTTGGGGGGGGGGGGGGGGGGGGGAGCAAGAAATAGGGGATACAATGTTTACCAGGTTACCTGCTGGGGTAACTAGAAATAATGACAACAAACTGGAAGACAGCAAATTTAGACTGGCCATCAGGAAAAAATTCTTTAGTGAGCGTTGCCAAAATGTGGAATAAGTTTCCAAGGGAGATGGTGCTGTCCCCTTCCTTGGAGGTGTTTAAAAGGAGATTGGACAGACACCTGTCTAGGGTCATCTGACCCCAGCACTCATTCCTACCCAGGGCAGGGAGTCGGACTCGATGATCTAATAGGTCCCTTCCAACATCTATGAAACTATGAAAGCCTCTGTGTTGCATTTTTCAGGTTCTATTATTTTGAGAGCATTCCCCTAACTGGAAGCTCCTTTTCATTATAAGGAAAATGAATGACTGAGAAAACACTAGATGATGTTAGCTACATCACATGCCCTTCTACTCAAAATGTTTGTAATTGTTTTTCTCTAACTTCAGTCCATATAGTTCACTGACTTTGCCAGACATCTGAGTTCCAGAAAATTGGGATTCTCAGCCTCTCATATACTGTCAAGTTCCTTCACCATCTAGCCTTTCTCCCTAGTCTCAAGACTGCTTTACTTCTTCCTCACCAGAGAACAGAGATATAAAACTAAGTGACAACAAACAAGCTGAAACTTTAAAATATCTGAAAGGAAAACTGAATTAAAATTAGGAAACTTGCTCACAACTTTGTTTGCAAGAGAACAGGTTACATCTTTGGATGTAGAAGAAACCAACAGTTAGAAATTAAGTCTAATTTTCCATTTATATCCCACTCACAACAGGACATATCCCAAATGCATGTTGGTAATCTACTGTAATGAAAAACATGCCAATTTAAGGAGAAGTACTCTTATCTCATACCTATAAGAGACCTTGGACCTAAGAAGAAAGGCTTAACGCAAAGATAGAAAGATTATCTCCTGGAAAATAATTATTAATACCATTTATTAGGCTTCATGTAAACATATTTTAATACTTGTCTGTTTGCTTGTATATACACGACTGGATCTTTGCCTTATGGTTAGTCCCCCCCGTCAGTTTTTAATTGTTCTTTCTGTTAGTTACCATGATAATTTATATGTACCAAAAAACACGTGCTATTAGCCTTTTTTTTTTTGTTTAAGAGAGCTAAAGCTAAGTCTGGCTTCTGAAAAAGAAAAGACATTATACAATCCTAAGGCACATTTACTTCAACAGGTCATCTTAATTTTCCATTAACTACTTTACTTTTCAAAGTATGCCTGTCTTCTCCTTCGCAGTTCTTCTGAAGAAAGAGACTCTGTCAGACTTGTACTAGTTGATTGTGAAATATTCCGTGATACAGACCCTGAGAACTCATTTCGATGATCTCCTAAAATCAAGACACATCATTTCATTACACCACTAAAGCAGAGAAAATAAACTAATTTAGATAACATAGTTTTAATGATCTCTTCAAACTTAATGAAAATAATTGCTGACAAAGCAAACATCATATAGAGCAGCACTGTCCAACTTCTGAGAAGCTGAGAGCTGCCAAGTGGGATCTGCATACCCTCCAGCCTCACCACGTGGGCTCTCCCAACATACAGGCCTTATGGACTCCTCAGGACCCTCTGGGCCACTCAGCCCTGACCTCAGTGGTAGGGACAGGAAGCTGAAGGTGAAGGAAAAAGGAGCATGGAGACCCCCAACAGCAGCAGAAGTTGTACGGGGAGAACAGCAGGCAGGCAAAAGCCTGCGGCTGCATGCCATCTATGGGCCACAAGTTGTGCATCCCTAATATAGAGAATCAAATGACTACTACAGTACACAAAAATCATTTTTTTTAAAGGTGATCTAACATGGAGTGAACTGTCCGGGGACTGGGGACTAGTGCGTTTCACCAGAAGAAAAACAAAAATCAATGGTACAGAATTGTCCCATTCAGTAACCAACTGAAAATCCATGCTGTCTAATGACTATTCAGCTGCCTAAGGCAGAAAGCTGAAAGTATATTTTCGGAGTAAACGCTTATCCATATTGTAATTGGCAATCCTCCTGTCAAGAAGAAGAGGAATTCTGAAGAAAAAAGGCCAAAGACTAGATTGCAGTATCCTCTCACTACTAAGCGGCAATCTGTTAAGGGGGGTTGTAGCACATTGATGAGAAAACTTGTGGCATTTGACCCACAGACAGGTTTCAGCTATCAGTAAGGGATTTTTTATAACCACTGAATAGACAAAAATGATCTCTGGAGAAATATTGTAGATTTTTTAAACCAGCATTTTACCTTGCATGCTAAGTTGAATGGCTCTACGAAGATCAGCTTCTTCATCTTCCATATCAATTTCCTGCCGACTTAGAGCAAGGGCTTTTTGGAAATTCTCCTCATCTTCATCTAACATGCCTGTCCCATCAAATGGATGGTTAACTTCTACAGCTTGGTCCAGGTTACTTTTCTGCAACCTGTAGAGTAGATAAAGTCACTGCAGACAGCCTCATACCATATATTTTATTTGAATCTCAATTGCACTAAGAAACATTGTGACTGTTGCCAAACTCCTCTGTGAGAGTTAAATATTTTCCTTTTTTTCAGATGGGAAATTGAAGTGAAAGAGAAATTAAGTGACCAGCCCAGGGTCAAGTGGCTAGTTAGAGTTATCCTACATTATATATACCCCAGGAATTATGCAAAGAAATTCAAATTTACTTTTTTTTTAACATTAAACTAAATAACACTATTCGAAACTACTTTAGAAATATATGCAGGTACTTTGTATTTATTATATAACACATTTTATCTCAAAATCTTTAGTGCTTTACCATCCTATGGACAAAAAATAAAAAATGTGACCCAGCAGGTGTAAGTTTTAAAACTAAATAAAACCATTAGGACTTGTTATACTGAGCTCAGATTTTCTAATTTTCAGCATAATTACTCTTTTCTTTTTCAGTAAATTAGATGCTTATTTTCATTTTAAAGTCCAAGATCAAAACAAAATCAATTAAACAAAGGAGGTTTAAGAGTCCTTGTGTGCAATGTAACCAAACTATTGCAGTTATATTGGGTTCTTCACACAGTACAATACTTGTCAAAATACCAACAAAATAAGTCAAATAAATAATAATAATAAAATAAAGCATCAATAATACTAAAACAAAAAGTGTATTTGTTAAAGTATTTTTATGTTCCAACACTGAAATAAAGGAAGACCAGCTCTTTCATTTTTACTTCTGAAAGAGAATGCCTGAGATTGGAGAGCACAAGGTTGTAGAGTGAGCTGGCTGAACTCTGCCTCAGCTGTGTTTGTTACAGCATTTATGCATCTGAAAGGTAATGTTTTCACTTGCGGAATACATTGGCTGAAGATGAACAAAACATGGCAAAGTCAATTTCCTGATTGCAGAGTGCTTTGGATCACATTGGGTACTGCCAGCTTGGTATACAAAGCAAACTCCCGTGCTGAAATGTCACTGAAGCCAGAAACTGAAATGTAGTCCTCCTTAACAGGAAAATCCTGAAGTATTTCAGGAACTCAATTGCTGGCTGCCCACTCTCAGTACTACCGAGGTACTTTTTCAGCTGAACTGTCAACAGCCAAACAGAACAGGTGCACCAACTTGCTACTTTGCTCAGTTGTTACACTGTTGACATTTTCAGCCCCCAGAAACCTTTGGGTGCTTTCCTCCAAAAACTGAGCATCTCTCTCAAGAAAAAACAGGAGATCCTCCATTTTCTCAAAAGCAAAGAGAGTGCATGGTCTCTGGCTTTCAAACGTAGCCATTAGATTAATGATTGGCTTGCACATTTCATTGGTGAAATGCAAGCCAGTTTTCAGCATCAAACACTGGGTTTCATCTGACAGCACTCTCTTAAATTCCCACAATGCATGTGATGCCAAGTTGCCCCACACAGCTATTTCTTCTTCAGCAAAGGCATAATAATGTTGAAAGAGCTCTGCACAGTACTGAACAGCAGCAAACCAGCTGTTCCATCTAGTTGCCACTGGGTTTGGTGCCATTGTTGCACTGGAAACTTTTTGCCTGAGGTAATTTAAGTATCTTATCTTCCTGCCCCACGCCATACAGAACAAGTGTGAAAAAGCTCATAACAGTGCAGTGACATCCTCGAATGGTTTATGAAAACTTTCTTCCACCAGACTGATTATGTGAGCAAGGCACATTATGTGGATGCTATTGAGAAACAGTCCAGACAGCACAGTTGTGTAAACTTTTTTCATGTATGTGACATTACCCGTGTCAAAGACAACCATGGTATTGTAAGCAATTTTGTAACTTTGCACAGTCTGAATGACTGCTTGAGAGACAGTGCTGTAATTTGTTTTTTGCACGAACTGTATGTCAGCAAGATAGGAGGACCCCTTACCAGTAGCATCTCTCACCAATAGTGAGAGTAAAATGCTTACTATGTGACGGCCTTCATCATCAGTCATTTCATCTAGTATAACTGACACACAGTCATCCTTTACTTAGTTCTTAAGTTTATTTCTCTCAGTGTTGTAGGCATCTGAAAGATATCCATCCTGAAGCTGGTAACCTTTTGGAATTACACCACCATTCTTGACTTCAATATTTAGAAACTGGTGTACGAAAGGATGGTCTATTTTAGATAAAGGCACATTTGCAGCAGCAGTTAAGACCCAGTCATGAACAACATCCAACCACTCATGTTATATACTACTGTGGTTTGGCTGAAACATGCTGAAAGTGTATACTGCACCGTTTTGTGATTCTACTTGTACTTCAGCTTTCCTCTTTAAATGTTTCTGTGATCTGGTGCGGTAGTTCGCAATTTATTTCCTCTGATGATCCAGAACGACTTTAGACATTTTGCAAAACAGTTTTCCTCTATTTTCAAATACCTGTCCTGGAAATTTTTTACTCTCTGTTCTGCTACTATATCTGCAATGTGGGACCTTTCGTGTGGCATTTTCTGGCAAATCAATCAATGCTCCTCTGACCCTTAGTATGATCTGACATAGTTTTTTTTTTTAGTTCCCCAGCCTTTATATCACAGCAAGCAGCACAGAAAGATAATGAACTAAGCAGATGACACCTGTCACATGATGGGGGCTACAGTAGCTCAGGAGACAAACAATGTGCCAGGGATGGGCAATTATTTGGCTGGAAGGCCACTTAATGACTTTTGGTGAGCTGTCGAGGGCACCATTTGGTGCAGAACCAGAAGATCACCTTACTTTTACTAAGTGGAAGGAACACTTATGAATTATTTTAGTTGACAATGGAAAGGTCGTTTAAGTAACTTAATTAGGCATAAAATGCAATTATAGTTTCATAGTTTCTAGGGTTGGAAGGGACCTGAGCAGATCATCTAGTCCGACCCCCTGCCATGGCAGGAAAGAGTACTGGGCTCAAACGACCCCAGTAAGGTGGTCATCCAACCTCCTCTTAAAAACCCCCAGGGTGGGAGCCTGCACCACCTCACTT